AGGATACGCTCGGTCTGGAGTAATACCGCTTGCTTCCTGTAGGACTCCAATTGGCGTGAGATTGTCCGAGAAAGGTCCTTCATAAAGTCGATATCAAACTCGTCGAGCTTTTGCCGCGGGGTTGTGTCAAAAACCGAGAACAAGCCTATGACGACACCAGAAGGCGAGCAGATGGGAACGCCTGCATAGAACCGAGGATAGATTTCCTGCTCAAGGAGAGATGGGATGTGATGAAACCGCGGGTCGGCCAGAAGGTCGGGTATCACGAAGACGATGAGGTCCTCGGGATGCCGTCTCTGTTCACGGACGACATTGTCACAAATAACCTCGCTTCTGGAGATGTCGCGCCCGCGTAAAAGGAGAGGGGTGATTTCATCACGGGCGTAAGGTCGAAGCGGCAGTGTTGGTGTTGCTTCAGCAGCAATGTGTTGCACATCGTGATCAAAGAGAGACAGGACCCCTCGTCGCGCCGAAAGTTGAAGGACACCGAGCTGGGCAAGTGCCGTTAGAACGGTGTCGGATGATGCCCGGCGGCTTTTGTTCGGGGATGTGTGGGCCGGATCGGGCACGGCACGGCTATCCCGAACTGTCGACAGGAATCTGTAGAGAATGTCAGCAACTGAACATCACAATATCAAGGCGGGGAAGGTTAAGGGCACGCTAGGGAGGCTGGACAGAATGACTGGTCCGACCGCAATGATGCGTCTGATCCCCTGGGTACGGGTGGTACACAGCTTGGGGGACGCTATGGCGGAGAAAGACTGGAGAGTCTCAGAACTGGTACGTACCTGAAGGTCTGCCACTCCCGAGCTCTTTCAGATACATTCCGCATGGTCTTTGGTTTCGCCAAGTTTGGCGGATTTGCACAGATTGCGAGACTCTTCCGAGACTGTGTGATATGATGTGAGGAGGTGGATGAGGGAGACGGGTGAAAGATATGACCATAGTCTTATGAGATGGAATTGAGGAGACGCGGTACCTAGGCAAGGTAGCTGCAACAACCTGCATCCGTGAACATGCATTGCACTCCAGTGACACCAGCTGTTCCCTGCGCCGACCTGTTTCCCAACGGCACACACTCCGGGAGGAAGCGTCCAGGTCCTTACACTGGCTACCAGACGGTTCGATAGCTTAGAGCCAAGCTCAAGAGAGGCAAGGATATATCATGTTGAAGCCTGTCTTGTACGTTTCGCCTTGGGGGTGATTGGATCCACACTGTCCAGTAAACATGCCGGCGTGCTCGGGCGACTAGGCGGGAGTGCAAGCACAGACTGGTCTGGACTCGCATCTCGCATCCCGCGTTTTTGATGGCACTGGGGCCGGAGACTGCACCGTCCCCTCCGCGCTCTTCATCTGAAATCCAAAGGGATAAGACAACCCGCTCAAAGGAGTCGATATCAGTCACTTGGACAGTCAGGCATAGCCCATCATCTCCCGTACTAGGCCACGGAACACTCCCGTTTTATGTCGTGATCGATAGTGAGTCGAGAGATTGAGCGACGAGACGACACTTGGGTTATATTCATTGGATCCCTGCCTCAACTTCGCCCGCTTTCCGCAGTGAAACAAACTCCGGCAGTACCTGTTGCAAACAGTAAAATGAAGGACCATCTTACCAAGATACCTTCCAGTAGAGATTAGTTTGAGTCATGACCATGAGAGAAAACTCTGACCTAAACATGGGGCGCGGGCATGGTGTACTTGTGAGATGGTGTTATCGATTGACCTCCCAGCACACACACACACACAATCTGACCGGAGTGTTTCATCCGTTTGACGTTTTTTTTTTTTTTTTTTTTTTTTTTTTTTTTTTTTTTTTCTTGCTTTCCTCATCCCTTGCTGCAAGGATAGTCTTAGCTGTAGACAGGACTTGAGATGGCTGTAATCCGTTGTTCCCGTCCAAAGCCCGGATAACGCCTGTAAAAGCTGCCAGGTCGGCAACATACATAACCAAGATCGGTCAGCTAACGGCAATAGCAGAAAGATTGAGAGATTACAGTAACAAGACAGGGCAGCCAAAAACGGCGTAGCGCGCCTCCACTCTCCAGGCCATATTCTTTGATGTATGCAGATGAACATTCGCGCAGCAGAAGACGTGGAGCTGTCGGTAGACCCCCCCCCCCCAATGACGAGTATCTGAGGCAATAGACGTGATGCCCGCGCGGTCGTCACTGTCGCAAACCTCCTCCTAAGCATTCTGTGTCGAGAGGCATGTTCCGACAGTTGCTGTACCCGGTCTGTGGTAATGCGTAAGACACACGTCATAGGAGGTGGAGTCGACTGGAGGCTTGCTCATCACCGGAGATTTAGGCCGGTTCCGATATCAACCTAACTTTGGTGTTGATGGCAACCATCGGATACGACGGATAGGGGCGTCAATGGTGGTAAAACTTTGTGGTCGGCTGGTGCAACACAGTAGAGCACGGAAGGTGTGTGGAATCCGCGGAGTTGTCAGATTCCGTGGAGTTGGCAACTTGGTTGCTGGTCAATGGGTATCTCGATAAGCAGATGGACAAGTAACTTTTGATACATTGTTGGTCTAGACCTCCCGCACAAGCCAACCGATTCCGATCCTGAACACCTTTATATTGTTTCCCAAATTTGATATCCTATTCTGCTGTTGTTTATACGCTGATGGTACGGAAGACGCTGAACTGCTCGCCGGTGGCAACAAGGGCGCCGGGTATTTGAGGGTGCCAGTGAAGCTCCTTGACCATGTTCTGGTAGTGGACGAACAGGAGCTGGGGAGGGACGTCCGAGACACCGGCGGTATCTCTGCTCTCCTCGTCATCCAGCTCAACAGCCAGATCCCAGAGAGTGACGGTGTTGTCGCCAGCAGCAACGGCCACGATACTGTCGTCTGTAGGGTGCCACTCAATGCTGGTGATTTGCTCGTGGTGGAAGTTAAAGTTTGCCAGAGGCGCGGGCTTGGCCGAAGGGTTGCTGCTCCATTGACGGAGATCCCAAACAGCCCACTCACCATCGTCGGCACCGGTAGCAAGCAGGTGGCTGGTCTGGCGGCACCATGACATGACGTTGACGTCGTAGTTGCTGATCTTCATGGTGAGAGCGGGCGAGCGGCTCTTGCTGCGGACATCCCAGACACGGACGGTACCATCGCTGGAGGCAGAGGCGAAGACGTTGGCCTCGGAAGGACTCCACTGGATCTCCTCGACACTGCCGGTGTGGCCGCGGAAGGGACGAGTGTCAGTGACGAAACCGCCGCCATCAGTGCGAGTGGTGACATAGATCAGACCGTTGTTGTCACCGGTAAGCAGCTTGCCGGCGGGGTGGAGGGGCGACCAGTCAACACCGTAACCCTCTGTCTTGTGGGCGCGGATGGTGCAGACGGGCTTGTTCTGTTGGGGAGTGACAATCATGCCGGGGGTATCGAAGGAGGCGAGATGGGGGGTGATGTCGTGGATGAGCACCTGGGAGGACTCGGTCATAGTGGCGGTTAGGGTGGTGGGGGGCCTCGAGGGGTCCTGGGCAGGAGACTGGTGGGAGCGTATCCTGTTGGTAGTGGTGTTGAGGGGGATGCTCTTGTGCTCGAGAATGGGGTCGGTGTCCTCATCATCCGAGTCCTCGTCGTCCGAGTCCTCGCCATCCTCGCCCTGCATCTTGCTGAGGCCACTGAACTTCATGACGAGAAGAGAGTTGTCGTTGGCCTGGGCGCCATCGGCCTGGGTACCGGCGACGGTGTACATGGTGGCAGGGTAGACATTGCGGTTCTCGCCGAGGCCGTCGCGGATGATGTCGAAGGAAAGGCAGGGCCAGGGAGTGCTCAAGCTGTGAAGCATCTTGTATGTCGTGGTATCGGGAGTGAGGGTCTGGCCGGCCTCGAGCTGTTGACGGCCAACCATGAAGGTCTCGGGGCCGCCATCGACGTCCATGGCGCCTGTTTGTTGCGACTAGGGTCAGTACAATGTAGTCACGAGAGGATAACCGTTGGTGGTCGTACCCTCCTCAGCCTCTCTCTCGGCATCTGGGCGGCCATCAACACCGGCCTCGATGATCTCGTCTTCACTCTCGAACTCGTCCTCAAAGTCATCCTCGAACTCGCCCATGTCGTGGTCCTTATCGACATCCATGGCCTCGGGGCGGTCGCCGCCCTTGAGGGGAGCAGCGAGGCTCTCGTCTTCGGCGGCTCTCTTGGACATGTTGTGTGGTGTGTGTGATGTCGGTACAATGTATGATGAAGGGTTGTTTGCAGGATTGGCTACGGCGGCAAGAGGCAGACAGCACTGTTGCGTGTTCGTTGTTGACAGATGGAACTCGGCAGCCGCTACAGTATCAGATACGACGGGAGGGGGGACTTCCCAATCCAATGTCAACTGAACTGAACCGAACTCGGTCCCTCAAATTCCACTTCCAAATTTTTGAACTTTTTAGTGGAGCTGTGGGACAAGCCGGTTTGCCAAGCTTCCACATCTCCACAGCTACCCCGCGTGAGTGGCTCCTGTCTAGGCCATTTGTGGCTTACCTGCAACACGTACTCCTGGCACTGCAGGGGATGTGGCTTAGCAACCGCACTTCGTTGTTACTACTCATTTGAACTGAACGACGGATGAACTGAAGTCAACTACCAGTACACGTGTGTAAACTGGAAGTCTGCCATCCCACGAAAGATGAAACTTTTTCGTCCAACAAATCGATCCCACTTGATGCCTGACGCTGAATCCTAACCGGAAAGCAAGATCCCGACCTTCTTTTTCGTTCTCAGTCAAGCCGAGATGCGATACAGCTTACGAGTAAGGGCATCGCCTGATTACGAGTCCCAACATGATACACAGTACAAGCGGAGCTGCGCCTCCGTCATGTCCGAAATGATCTTCGGCTTGCCCGAGTCCACTTGCCGGCCACCTGAGGTAGTGTACTCCGGCGTACCGACGCGCACAACGGTCCAGTCGTGATCGACCCCGTTCCAACAACAGCTCGACAGTCCCGTTTTGCCAATGTCAGTCATTCTAGGGCCAGTCGTCGAACCATAGCACCCCAACATGGTCCTCAGCATGGCACGTTCACGCGGCGTCCTCGCCCTCATGGCCATCACCAGTCTCGTCACCGTCTGGCTGTGTCGACTTCCCCAGCTAAACATCGACATAACACGAGGTCCCCTTCTCCAACGCCATCTCGATCTCTCCCTTCCCGATGCCCCCTTCGTTGGCTGGCCGCTCGAGAGAGTCTGCAGCGAGACCAGCTGGACCCCCGGCCTGGTCTTCGTTTGTGACAACAACTCCGGCGGCATCGGCAATATCCGCAACTACATGCTGACTTGCCTACGCTATGCCATTGACGCCGGCGCAACCGGTCTCGTTATGCCACGAATTCGCGTCCGATCCGAAAAAGACCTATCCGACATGACAGCCGAGAACTCCCAGCCCTTCACCTACTTCTTCGACGAATCGCACTTCCGCCAAAGCCTTCAGGCGTCTTGCCCGCAAATCACCATCTACGATACTGCCTCCGACGTCCCCAATGCCCCCGCCCCGTTCAAGACCGAAGAGATCACACCCAAGAATCTAGGGAGAAGAGGAGGCTGTGATAGGAGGGATCACAATAAACACACTGGCTTGTTCGCTTCCGCCTTTGCGAACCACCTGCGCTCCACTGCCGCCGAGTTCAACCTCGCACACCCTCCCAGCCCTGAACACCCGCGTATCTTCCGGTTGACCTGGGGGTCCAGTTCGAATGGCCCGTCTTCCGTGACGGCCCCGAGTTCGCTTCCACCTTTGGCGGTCTGTTGCGGTTCCGGCCTGACATTCTTGCGCTGGGGAACAAAGTCGTAGCACACATGCGGCAGCATGCACGCCAGTTTGACGCCGACTCCCACTCGGGTCGATTCGTCGCCTATCACCTCCGCACGGAAAACGATGCGTTAGACTTTTGGCCCGACTATGCGAACCAGAGCAAGGCTTACCTCGCGAGGAGTCAGCAGATGGGATACGACATGAAAGCCGGCTACCTAGCCACAGGCAACGAAACGGAGGCGCACAAGTTCTTCAGGGACGCAACCGTGCTTCATGGGATGCGAGTTACAACCAAAGACCTGCTGTTGGGGGACTACAAAGAAGACCTCGCGGCACTGGAGAAGCTGACGTGGGATCAGCAGGCAGTGGTCGACTTTATCGTCCTGTTGCAGAGTGACTTTTTCCTTGGTGTTAGTCCGAGTTCGTTTAGCATGAACGTTGCCCTCAAGAGGCATCTCCAGGCGGAGGGACTATATACAAGGCCATGGAGGATAGGAGGCGAGGGAGATGGGAGGAGTTGGTTGATGGGGAAGTACGAACAGTTCTGGGAAGACTGGTTGTTTATGTACGAGGCGATGTGGCCATAGATGGAGTGGTCCTGGGCCGGTCTTTCATCAATTGACATCTCCACCATCAATGCCACAGTATACACCCTTCATATCCATCTTTCTCGCTTCTTTCAACTCCATTCACGACCCAGCGCGGCGTTGCCCACCCCCGCCCCTTTCCTTTTAGTCAGGGGATGTCACCATTCCGATGTCAACGCCATCTCCTTTCCTCCCGTCCTAGCCCAGCCTACTTTGCTTCACGCCTCCCATTCCCTACATCACAACACAACAATAACAACAGGCCGCACACCCCGCCAGACACCCACCAAAGCAGGCCACGCAACATTTTCCCGACCGCTGTTTCCCGTTCTCATGTTGGCATCCTCCACGCCCATGCCCTCTTCTGTCCCTCGGGTCCGTCTGTACCTGACCTGAACTGGGCGTACGGATCACCGAGCTGCTGGCTACTGTTGGCTGTTGCGCTTCGACGTCGTAGCCGTCCTGCTGGCTGGTATTAGGGTGCTTTGCATCTGGTTGATAATCATGGTTGGAAGAGGAATACTCTTGGATGGGATAAGGCTGCTGCTGCTGCTGCTGCTGTAGTTGTCGTTGCAGTTCCCGCTGTTGTCGCTGTTGTTCTAGTTGTTGCTCGAGCTGTTGTCGTTGCTGTTCCCGCTGTTGTCGCTGTTGTTCAAGTTGTTGTGCGAGCTGTTGTCGTTGGAGGTCTCGCTGTTGTCTTTGCAATTCTCGCTGTTGTTGCTGTTGTTCTGGTTGCTCTCGGAGCCTTTCTTGCTGGTTCAAGAAGTGAACTTCACCCGTGGGCTCATTCACGTTGTGGCTTTGTATCTGTCTCCCTTGGCTCCTGTCGTTCGTGCCGAGGACTGCTGCCTCGTAGCTGGGCGGAGGGGATTCAAGCTCATGCACTTCGCCTTGAGTCCGAGAGGGATCAGATTGGGAGTATGATCGAGGATTCGGGTTTTGCATCTTGTTTTGCGCCGTCATTCTGAAGGTTCGCTTCTCGTGCAAGCTTTCAGTCGGTCAATCGAAGTCAATCGATGGACATGAGCGTCAATCACCAATGTTGCAAAGTTGCAAAATTGAAGCATGGCAAGAGAAGAAGATAAGCCACCAGCGAAGATCGACGGGATCCGTCAGCTTATGGGCAATTCTTTGTCCCAACCCACATCAAAGCTGACGGGACGACTTGTCTCTGCCTTGCTGTCAGCCAATCTGCCCAAGGCGGCCTCTTTCAACATCACTCTCCCATTGGTCGCTACCAATCGTAACTGTTGTTTCGCTCAGCCCCTAAACCCCAACCCTTCATGTTCACCAACCGGAGACTGGCATCCTATCACAAGCAACTATACATGTTTAGGCCCCGCTCGCGCGCTATGTATTCCTTGATCAAGTCAGGATGCGGAATAGTTTTTCTATTAGAGTCTACTTACCAGACTCGCCACAGGACATGATGCTCTTATATGCGAGCTCAGAGTTGTTAATGCCGAGGTCTGCGCTGCTGCGGGGAGATACCAACATTGGGATACCGTCATGTGTATTGTGGTCAAGGTTTGGCCACATCTTGAATGTCGCCTTTGGGAGTTGAAGTTGGCAAAGTTTCATCGGCACCAAGGCGGCGTGGAAAGGGGAGCCCGATCTGTCAATGCAACACTACTTTATGAAGCAAGGCTTCGACGATGATCGCCATCCTGCAAGCCCGAATCTACAGATATATTTGTTCTTCCCATTCAACATCCCTCGATTTTCCCAGCTCCGAGTCTTCAAGACAAGCTATGTCCAGCTCGGGACGGAGTGCCGAGGTTGTGGTCCAAATGAGGCAACCCCGGAAGCCCAGTTCCGAACCAACGGTCCTTCATCGCGCGCCATTGCAACGCTACCCGGTTTCACCTTGTGATCTTATTTCGCGAACCGAGTTTCCACCTCCCGCTTGGCCCTGCTTGTCTAACACGGCGTAACATCCCGAACTCGCTACTCCTTCTAGAATGACCAGAACTAAGATGAAGTGTACGCAACGGGCCGTCAATTCCTTGGCCTTGCCGTCGGGGTGTTCAAGGTAAGTAGGGTAGAGATATAAACATGACCGAAGCACCAAGCCTTTGATCACCAGTCTTGTCCCAACGACAATCCTTCTCTCGTCAATACCTCTACCCACAATGCGCGTGCTAGCATTCATCCCCGTTCTCGCGGCTGTCGCCTCCGCTGGTTGCACCCGTCGCAGCTCACAAAAGCCAGCCCCTACTGGAACCGCCCAAGGCGAAGGCGGCGCCTGGTCCCAATGCGGCGGCGTAGGCTGGGCCGGTGCGACTAGTTGCGTCTCCGGCTACACTTGCAGCAAGATCAACGATTACTACTCCCAGTGCATCCCAGGATCTAGCACGTACGTACCAGCCTGCTGAGGGCTCATTCTCTGGAAGCGCGATCCTCAAGGCCGTCCCACTCACCACTTCCACCTTCTCTTCTAGTGCCGCTCCTGTGACCACCACTCTCAAATCCTCGAGCGCCCCAGCCTCCATTCGCTCAACGACCACGTCCTCTTCGAGCTCCGCTCCTATAGCCACCACTCTCAAAACCTCCGAGTCGACCGTCCCGACTTCCGTCAGCTCAACGACCCTTGAATCTTCCACTGGCGCCCCCTCCGCCACAACTGTTCCTTCCAATCCGAACCCGACCGTCCTGGAATCAGGCTGGTACTGGATCCGTGCCGTCGCCGCTCCCAACTTCCACAAGTACCTTCAAGGTGGCGCCTCTTCGGCTGGTTCCTCCAACCAGACCGCCCTCCTCGAAGACCACACCACCGCAGGCCAATTCAACATCATCGACGGCCAACTTGTGTTCAACACCAAGCCTGCTCAGCTTTACCTCAACGTTGAGAACCCTACCGATAAGACACAGAGGAAGCTCAAGACCTGGTTTAGCACGACGAAGAACGCCTACGGCACGTTCAAGTTCCAGGGTGATACCCTGACGTGGTCAGTGGCGGATATCAAGAGGCAGAATGAAGCCGCTTGGTTGGTGTGCACGGGACAGGAGGTCTTCATCAACACGGGCGCGTACTTGTATCAGACGCCGGCTGGGTGCTCGGATCAGACTGTGAGTACTAGTTTTATTTCTTTGCTTGGGAAACATGGTCTATGTGTTTGGAGGAGCAGGCTTGCTAACACAATGCGTGAAAACAGATCCACTCGTATGGTGGCTCGACTGCTAATGTCTAAGAGGTTGAACATTGGACGCCAATGATCTGCAAGTGGAATGTCAGTTAGTCTACATCGGATGAGAAGACAAGGTATAGGCAGACCTAGAGGTATTGGCACATGCTGCGAGCCAATTTTCGTTGTACATATTAGAGTTATACATGCACATATCAACACCACGTGAGAATACCTGTCCGTCTATCAAGTCGTCACTGGCAAACTAGCAACCCTGATGTCCCCTCTTTGGACCTGCAAGTGCGGCCATCCCACTGAGCAGTGAGAATATGAACATGAAAAGCATCTTAAGAGAATCGACGTGCTACCAGATGCTCCAGGTTCAGACGCACGAGTTGTAGAATGGGTAGGTCGGTATTATACAGTCCAGTACTGGTTCGTTTGTTAGTCCAAGACCTCATTTCAACTTTCCTATGCGTTTTCATAACTGACTAACGCATGATATTACCTGCAAACGCCATTTTCGATAATCAATATGTCATTAATTCCGGTCAATGTCTTTACAATTCGTACTCGGCCCTTTTAACTTATCCTCAAAGCTTTAGGACTATTCGGGATAGATTTCGTCTAGTGTACAATACCAAACGTACCTAGAGGTCTCTACCTACACGGTGTACCGAGTTAACAAATAAACTAGAGGTACGCAGCATCGGACTTGACTGTAGTATTTCGGATCACCGCAAGCTTTGCTTGTCCTTTCCAGCTCGCAAGACATTACAGGGCTGACAATAACCATGCCAGTGCAATCCATGTCCCCATCCACCACGGAACCGCCATCATCCCAGCACCACTCTTCTGCTTCCCTTTCCCCTGATCACTCCCGTTGCCTCCCCCGTTCCCCTTATCCTAGCAAGTATTCAACATGCTATTTAGAGCAGACTTTTCGGCGCTGGTGATGGTCAAAGCCCAGGTATACTTGACCTGCACCCAGGCCTTAGCATAAGTGCAGTAGAAGCTGGTAAGAGGGGGCTTCCAAGCGTCGGGGCTCTTGTCAGACTTGGCCTGGTTGACGTTGTCGGTGACAGCCCACAGCTGGGGCGAGTTGATGTCGTTGGCAAACTGCTGGCGCTTGCTGGTGGTCCAGGCGTTGGCACCGGATACCCAGGCGTTCTTGAGAGGGACCATGTGGTCGATATCGACGTCAGAGGCGGCGGTCCAGACACCACCGTCGTAGGGAGAGGCCCAGGTACCGCTGGTAGCCGAGCAAGCGGAGTTGGTAACGACGTTGGTGCCGTCACGCTTGAGGACGTACTCGCTGGCAGGTGTGTTAGTGGATGTGATACGAAGGGGGTGACACAAAACGTGGAGATGCTCGGAACATACCGGGTGTTGCAAGTACCAGAGATGGTAATCCAGGTGGGGAACAGATCACGCTTGTACTTGCCGTCGTCAACGTAGGGCTTAACGGTCAAGCTGGCGAGCTGGGTCTTGGCGTTGGCGGCAGTGGGAATACCGGGCTGTGATGGTCAGTCTCAAAGCTCCTCTGGCGGGAATGAGCGGGGAGGATAAACGTACAGGGGTGGGCATAGGAGCTGGAGCCGCAAGAACCGACGAGGCGGCCGCCAACAGGGAAGCAACAATGAAGGACTTCATCTTGTCAAAGATCTCCTCGGTATTCCTGGGTGTCGGATAGAGAGGCGTGAGTGGAAGATGAAGATCACGGAAGCATCGACAGCAGATCGCCGAGTCCTTATAACTCCCAGCATGGTTCCCCTGTTCATCAAAGTCAACAAGCAACGTCCTGCAACCCTCCCGGATACGTTGCACTTCGTCCACCTGCACGATATGCACATCTAGGGTAACACGAAATCAGGCACGAACCGCCAACCATTAGGATTGGATCCATCAATGCACATCTCTTTCGACCTTCACTTTCGGTATCTAGCGTGAAACGCAAATAGCGAAAACATGGGAGGGACCAAGACCCCTGATTCGCTCCTCAGATAGACTCTCGATATGCAAACCCGCTCCGACCGTCCAATGCCCAGTACGATGCCCATTAACTTGCTATAACAACTCAGCCATTGCTGATGCAGTACAACCCCGAAACATCCACAGTTCTGTCGCATCCGGGGGTGATGTATAAGTGCCTATTTGGGATTGGCCAGCTAGTCGACCAGTAGATAACCGCGATAAGGCCACGCATCTCTCCATCTGTTCCATCACATATGCACGCGGCAATCTCAGGGGATCGTGGGATGGAAAGTGTGGAGAGAAACGAACTTCCTTTTTCTGTTTCCCAATGATCTGCATCACTTTATCGGTGTCAAGTATCATCGTGGCATGCGCCCTCGCGGGTTAGATCGTTGACAATCAGTTACACCCCGCAGCCAGTTTCCCCTTGAGGTCTTCCCCGCCATGAAAGCATCGCCAACTTCCTATTTCGGAATAAGACGCCGAGCGCGAAGGTACACTAAGCAAACTCAACACCAATCACTGCGACACCAATATGTATGAAGCGTATCTGTGCGACAAAGAAATACCGCAAGTGAGACCCGGAACATCGGGCTTAGTCGAGGACGGTGAGAGGTGAGCTGGGTTTCCCTGCATGGGGAACATCAAGAGCAGAGAAAAAAGGGATGCAGAGAAAGGCGAATCGTGTTCGTGAAAACAAATGACAACCGTACCAGCATGCGCCAGCCCAGCAGGACGAAGCCGCAACAGGCAAGCATGAATTATCGACTGGGGCATCATATCATCAGTCCCAAGCGAGATCCCAAACCGGGGCAAGGACATCTGCATACCTACCGTAGAATCCTACCCACCATTGATGGCAATGTCCTAGGTACCATTACCAACACGTTTCTTGATATCTCCCATTAGGCACTCCCAGGAGCATCGGCCGTCTCCGCCTTGGATGACAAGATCTTATGAGTCGCAGTGTCTGGTGTCTCAATCACAGACTTCGCATCCGCGGCATCAGTCTTGTCGGTGCTAGTGTCCGGTTGGACCTCTGTCTCCGACGACTGGGACGTCTCTGACTTCTTGGAACCCCAAAGACTGTACTTTCCGATGCTCGGTATGTTTGGTATGCCAGGCATGCTCGGCATACTAACGCTGGGCATGGAAACTTTGGGCATCTCCCACTCTGGCATCTCGGGGAGCTTGGATGGAAGATAGGAACGGATGTTGGTTCCTGTCTGCTGGGCGACACCAAACAAGTGTCGCATGTAGGCCTGTTTCTGCTCGCTGATGGCTTTTTTCTTGTCGGTGTCGGCAGTGCCGTTGTCATCCTCCGCGTCTTCAAGGTCGTCAGGCAAGGGCACAAGCGAAGCGGCAGCGGCAATGTCGATAGGTGACTCGTCGGGAACGCCATCGTCGTCAGAGTCGCCCTCGTTGACTTCTTCGCCCATCTTCTTCTCGGCCTCCTTGACCTTCTCCTCCGCAGTCTTCGCTTCTTGGTCTGCTTCATCGATCGCTTTGGCAATCTCCTCTGTCTCGGCAGTCTCGGGCTCGACCGGCTCGGCGAATTTGGGGTCGTCCCAGATGTCAGTCTCGTCCTTGAACCAGTTGACAACCAGTTGGGCAGCTTCGTTAGTCATTCTTTCGTAGCCCCTGTTTTTCTCCGGCTTGAAGAGGTTGACATGTGCTTCAATCTCATCCTTGGCCTCGGGAATGACATGCCTGCTGAAGAGCCCATTGCACGGCTGTCCCTCGCCGGGTATGGCACAGAATGTCCTCTCGGGTACAAAGTAACCACCACTCCAGTACCCATTTTCTCCAAGAGACGCATAAATGTCCTTGATCCCAACTCCCTTCACAGCAGCTAGTCTTTCCAGCCGTCGATTCAGCTCGTTTTGCTTTAATAACGCCCCGACAAAGGTAAAGTGATCAGACAGCCATGCGAAGGACTGTCCGACATTGCCACGGTTGATGTATGCCAGCCCCTGACCGAGCGCATCGACGCTTTGCTGATATCCCTGGACCACATCCTCCTTCTTCAGGTTCTTGACCGTGCGCATGCCCTCGAGGATCTGTTTTCTGTGCATAAAGGCCGCCACACCACCGGCAGCAATGACACCCACCGTCCCTGTACGCACAGCAATCAGCTGCCACGCCTTGAGCGCTGGGTGCGATCGCCGGGGAACCGATATGCTGCGGGAAACGGCCTTGGTAGCGGCCACAGCTGTGCGCTTCGAGGCGAGACTCGCAAGTGTAGCTGGGGCGGCAGCAGTGAGCGCCGTCATGACGTTGAAGACATTGGAAACCTTTTGGTAGTTCGAGAAAGCGCCGTAGACGAACATGGACCGTGCTAGACCATTGTAGGGAGTGTCGAAGGCGAGGATGCCTTGTATCATGGGGAAAATGGGACCGGCCGGGTTTTCGGAGTCGGCGTTGCGGCGGCGTTCGTCGAGAATGCGAAAGAGGGTGTCACTTGCAACAAAACCGCTGTAGGGGGTTAGTAAGGTACCGCAGAAGTACGGAAAGGGACAAGTCGCGGACATACCCCATCGAATGTGCAATTAGAATCACGCCGACATTTCGGTCGGTGGGAGGCCATGGTGCTTGCAGATGTTCCTTTCGAAGTTCCATCACCCGCTCCTTCAGCCTATTGACCGTCAGTTGCTGATACCACAGCGCCTGTTTTGTGTGCTTGTTTGCGTACCATTCTAGGAAAGCTTCGGTGGTCTGGGCCAGCTCTCCTTTGGTCTCGTACTTGGGATAGACGACGGACGCCACATGGTGGTCGACGAGGTTGCTCGTGACAGTATCTTTGAGGTGCTTTGGGAAATCGCGAAAGGTGTCGTCGTCTCCCTGTTGCGGGATGGGTTAGCGAAACTGTGGGCTGCTGTCACAAGATGATTGGGAATGAATAGGAGAAGCAGACTTTGAAGCCGTGAATAAAGCAGAGCAGCAGGATGCGCTTCGTCATGATGCAATGTTCTCAGAGACGGGAAAGCGAGATGCGACGGCAGAAGCAAAGTGGAATGCTTCAATTGATCGGTAGGTAGCAGGGTATCGCCGATAGCTAGATAAGGTAGTTGGATGATACTAGGATAGATGAGGAAGCGAAAAAACGTGTGATGGATGTCGAGTAAGAGGATGACGCAGTGACGGAGAGGCGAAGGGTAATAGGCGCGACACACCCACACGGTGAGATGTGGTATTCAGCCCATTTCTTCCAGTGCAATCGAGTTCGAGTCGGTGCGACCAGCGATTTCCAGGTTTTGCGCAATGTTCGTGTTTCCGGGACGACCACCTGAACAGTTTGGAAGCTGCGGACTGGTTCCAAACGAGTCACATGTCGCGGGGGCTATTGAAGTTGCCTCTCAATATTGGAAGCGGGAAGAGTTGCGCAGACGTCATCGGTTTAAGAGCATCTGCAACCTCTCTAGTTACCCCGCACCGTCGCTGAAAATTGTTGGAGCGTTTCTAATGTATCTAGATACCTATGGAGAGGGATTAAAGTTTCCTATTATTTTTATTATAAAGTAAAAATACTTTAAAGTAATTTAATTATTATATTTTAATATTTTTTACTAAATAAATATCAATATACTTTGTATTTAAAGGATAGGTTCTATTCTAGTATTTAATATTTATATTAAAATGGAGCAAAAACCACACCAACACGAAAAGCACCCTACTATACCTAAATATAGCGAGGAGCAGATTTGGAGTTGAATATGGCTTTCGTCCTTAGGAATTGAGATAGAGTAATAAAGTTACAATTTATTAATTACTACTAAAGATTAACGAGAAGGATAAGATTCTCTTTATTAGTCCTAAGTTAGTTAAATAGGTTTAGGAGTTAGTTCTTTCGTTAGAGGGGTTATTAAACTTACTATCGCGAGGGCGTTCAACAATAATTTTATAGTATAGGAGCGGGACTTTTTAGTCTATTCTTAAAGATAGGTATTATTTAATCTAATTTAGAGTGCCTGCCTTCCTCTCTCTTTTCGGTCGGGATCTCCTCCTTATATCCCTTTTCTATTTATTATATTCCTAGGGTCCCGTCCAACTAGTATAATAGATCTACTCCTTAATGAACAATGAGCTAAGGCCCTAATGCCTCTACTATTATAGGTAAAGGGTAGGTAGTAGATGTGATTATACGTAATTGTACGAAGGAGAAAGGAAGAGAAGTGCAGCCGAGTACCTAGAAGGTTGGCTTTATGAAGGTAACCGCCGGCGGGTTTGATAGACCCGCGGCGGGTAGCGTTCTAACTAATTAGCTGCCGGTAATAGTCGGCTTGCCGGCGGTAATAATAGCGTACGGCAATCTTAGAAATTACTATATACTAACACTAAATATAAAGTATATAAGTTAACCCTATAATACTTCCCTAGATTAAAAGAAATTATATAATTAATTAATATTATATAAAATAATAAAAATCCCTATTAAACAAACGGTCCGCTCTTAAAAAATCTTTACTACCGTTAGTAATTATCGTTATAACCTCCGCCGCGGAGCTAAAACCTCTTATTCTACCTCCTTCTCCTTCTCCTTCCGCTTTTTCTCCGCCGCCGCCCAAGCCGGTAAATATAATACTTCCGGGTATCCATTATAGAAGGCCCGTACTATATTAGGGGCTATAAATATATTAGTACGTAGTTGCTATAATAGTGTGTGCGGGGGTGCCTAGACTATAAAATATTCCCAACGGCCCTTATCGTTCTTTTAATATTTATTTATTCTTTTAAATTCGTATTCGATAGAATCCTCCCTATTGTCGGTCCTCCTTATAGTCCGGCTATAGTTAATATAAATATTCTATTCCTCCGAATTTATTTATCCTAGGAGACCCTCTTTATCCTATAGTCTAACTTTATTAATATAGAATATTAGGTTATACTTTATATTAATTAGAAATTTAAACGTTA